TCTCTCTCTCTCTCTCTCTCTCTCTCTCTCTCTCACACACACACACACACACACACACACACACACACATACACGCACACATGTGGAAGTTTATATTTCCATGTTCTAGCGGTAGATTCATTCGATTTTGCTCATCCTATCGATGGACGTACCATGAGGCCAGCCACGAGGTTGGAGACTTACCTGTTCTCTCTCTCTCTCTCTCTCTCTCTCACACACACACACACACACACACATAAGTGTGGCATTGCATATTTTAATGTCCTCACGACAGACTCATTCGATTTTGCTCATCCTATCGATGGAAGTACCATGGGCAGCCGGAGGTTGGAGACTTATCTGTTCTCTCTCTCTCTCTCTCTCTCTCTCTCTCTCTCTCTCTCTCTCTCCGCCCCACACACAAAAAAAAAAGAAAGAAAAAGAAGCCCGGATAGCACCCCTCCCAGGGCCAGGGGAACAGCCCGTACTGCCAGCAACAGCCAGAAGAGCAGACCGAAACGATGCGTGGTGCCGGTAGGGGCATATGGAAAACTCTTGTGCCTGTACTGAACGGCTATCCGGTAGGGGCAAACTGGAAATTTGGCAAGGGTACCGGTAGGGGCATATTGAAAATATCTCAGGCCCAAAGGACGGCAGGTTTTTTTTTGGAAACTTGAATCACCAGCAGAGGGGTAAATGGAAAAGAAACACAAACTTCAGGGGCATTTCGAAACTTTTCCGTTCGGAAAAATAAAAAAATCGCGCCTCAGGCCTACCGGACCACAATGGCCGGCGGTGCCAGCTGAAAAAGAAAAGAAGTGGATCCGTTCGGCAAAGCCTGGCGCGCAGTGGAGCGCCTCCAAGCCCAGGTGCACTGACCATGCACGTCCGCTGTCCTGCCTTATGTGCTGTACAGGGGTGGGGGACAAGTAAGCATGATCAGGGGAGGTTCACAACCTCCCTGTTGCAACGCCAGGTCTGTATTTAAGTCATGCGTGCACCAACTGAGCTACCTGAGGCCCGTTGGTGATCTTTGAGAAACAGGTTTATCTTTGAATTTTTTAATTAATTTTATTATTTATTTATTTTATTTTATTTTTCCTTCTCCTTTTGATTTGCATATGGGACTCGCTGCACTACTCTCCAGATGCACAAAAGACAAAAAGTATGCCGGCGCATCTTTCCATGTTTCTAGACGAAGATTCATTCTCATTTTGCACATTTGGAAAGTAGTGCAGCGAGGCCGTATGTATGCTCTCTTTGTTCCGGTGCAAAAGCACGTCGTAAATCTGTGTCATAGGGCCTCGCTGCACTACTCTCGACATGCACAAAAAACAAAAATCATGGCCGTGTATCTTTCCATATTCTGGCTGAAGATTCACTCTTGTTTTGCACATTTCGAGAGCAGTGCAGCGAGGCCCATAAACCGAAAAAGCGGCCGGCTCCCGCCAGAACTAAAATAAAATGTTCCACTTGCGCCCAGCAGCTCCATGACTGCGGTGCAATTCCGGACCTCGCCGCACTACTCTCGACATGCACAGAAAACAAGAATCATGGCCATGTATCTTCCCATATTCTGCCGGAAGATTCACTCTCGTTTTGCACATTTCGAGATTAGTGCAGCGAGGCCCTCCATCAACCTGCCCCATCTTTGGCGCTCGAGTCCAAAGGCGCCGACCGGTCGTTTTGCACCGGCGGCCGTGCGCTGCACTGCGCATCGAGTGTGCATGAGCGGGCGGGCCCGCCGGGACAGAAAATAAATTCCCACAAAGGGACCAGCAGTTTCCGACCGACAGCGAGCGGAAAGACGGATGACGGAGATAGCTCAGAGGATGCAGGAGTAGGGACGGATGGTGCGGAAAGGCGGGGTGAGGAAATGCAAAGGGAGGCAGACAGGCGTAAGAGGCATGCTATACAGTACCAAATAGAGCGTCTATTGAGAGAACTTCAAGCAGGAGAGCGAAAACACGGGGCAATGAAAACATGCGGCGCATGCGCACTTGAGAAATGGTGAAAGCAAAACCCCTCTCATCCATCCTCTGGTCACTCTCTTTTCTGAATTAGTAGTACCCCGCCGTCTGCTTCTCGCACTCTCTCTCCCTCTCCCTCTCCCTCTCCCTCTCCCTATCTCTTCCCATGTTTCTTCAACTGCTGTAGTGCCCTGGACTCATCGACGTTGTTTATGCAGTCGTTTTGTGGACATGTTTTCTATGACGATATACGCAAGAGGTTCTGAACAGGAGGAGTTGTAAGGAAGAAGATAAAAAAACGAATTATTTTTCTTGTTTTCTCTGTTTTTTTCGCTTTTGAGCTCTGATATCTTTGTGACGATATACATACACACACACACACACACACACACACACACACACACACACACACACACACACACACACACACACACACA